CTATATACTTTGACCCAGAGATGCCATTGCTAGATAGAAATATCTCAGGGAGGTCAGTGACAAAAGTAAAGGCACATGTTAAAAAAAAACATTAATGGTAGTATTTTTTTTGTTGTAGCAAAGAACTGGGGGTGAGGTGGGGAATATATGCCCATCAATTGAGGCACGGTTAAATAAATTTTAGTACATTAATGTGATGCAATGTTTTTTGTACTGTAAGAAAAAATGAATATGAAGAATGCAGAGAAACATGGGAAGAATTATATGAAATGATGCAAAGGGAAGTAAGCAGAGACAGGAAAATAATATATGCTATTACTACATTGTAAGTGGAAAGAACAGCAATGACAAAGCAAATGAAACCAACTATTGTGTAATTATAATGACAGTTCAGCACAAAGAAGAGATGAGAAAATGCACCTCCCTCCTTTTCTGCAGAGGAGAAGAACTGAGTATAAAACATTGTATATAATGTTATATGTAACTGATCATGACAGTCACTCTTGCTGGACTTTCCACCACCCCCTCCACCTCATCTCCCTCCTTTTTCTTATTCTTTATTACAAAGGTTGTCTCTCTGGGCAGGGAAAGGTTTTGGAGATGAAAATTATGTAAGAACAAAATATATCAAAAAAATGTCCTGATGGGGGAAGAAAACATATAAAAGGAAGCAAAAAAGACAGAGGTGTGGGAACAAGAAAGTCCCCAGGTACCAGTGGTGGAAAAAGAGGTTTGGAGACTTGGGGGTGCAGCCTGAACAGGAATGAAGGAGTGGATATGGCTGGACTGGGAAATTCCTTAAAATAGAAATGTTAGAAGGAATTGACCAATCAGAGGAAGAGGAAGAGGCTACAAGACAATGGAAGAGCAATCTTCCAGGGTGGGAAGGCTGCTGAGGAATAGTGAAGAAAGAAGACCAGAGAGTCAAAAGCAGAGACCAGAGAGGAATGAAGGAGGGAACATGGCTGTCCTGGTAACTTCCTTAAAATGGAAGCTATGGGAGGAACTGATAAATCATAGGATGGAGCTAGAAGGGTGAAGGGATCTTCTAGTGTGAGATAACCCATCTATCTTTGAGAGGTGGGAAGTATGCTTGCCATCAATTCTTTAATGTCATAAGTGAATACTACATTAATCAGATGTCCTTCAATGTTGTTTTCCTTTGCATTATCAGGGATCTTTTTCAGATCAAATAAGATAAAATCCATATTATCCCTTTTAAACCTTAAAATGCTATATGCTACTCCTGCTGATCTTTTGATGGTACATAGACAATAAATATGTTCATATAAACAGGTTTTTCTGGACTTAAGGCAATCCCAATAAAGAAAGAAAGGCAGTCATACTTGTGACAGTAAGTGAAGGTCAAGATGATAAGTAGATGAAGGTAGTGACTTTGTGAATGAAACCCAGAGCCAATCAGTTCTAGGAAATAATACATTATCTCTGGAGTTAAAAAAACCAGGTTTGGAATCCTAATTCTGATACTACTTGTATGGCCTTAGGCAAATCTCAGTCTCCTGGGACCTTAGTTTACTTATATGTAAATTGAGAGGATTGGATTAAACCATCTTTGTAATTCATTATATCTCTTACATCTCTTAGATGAATACCCTATGATCCATCCAATTAGATTTCCTGTCACAGATCTTGGACAACTCAGTGGAAGTTACAGTTATTTTGACATAAATTTCTTCTCTTCTTTAGATTTTTATTCCTGTATAACTGGTCAGTGGAAAACACCTCTGAAGGATAGGCTGAGAACCCTAATTCAAGACCTACCAGACCTAATTTCAGTTTAGCCCCTTCCCATCATCATTGAAATGAAACAATATTGTGGCAACCCACCTTTTCATCACCACTAGCTACAACTATTGGTCAACTGCCATCAAGTGACAGCACCTCCCAGCCCACCAATTCTACTTCTAATTTATCCTTCACAGCCAACATCTAGAGATGTGGTGAGAGGCCCAGCCATCCTCATCATCTACCAACCAGCTGCCACACACAAGGCACACAAGCTAGCCTAGCTGAAGCAGCAACATACCTTGAGAGAGAAGTGGGGTGGGGGTGGGGAGCAGCATGTGCCAGTCCACCACCTTGACTACTATCTCTCCTCAGATCCTGATGGAGACATCCCAAGAATCTAAACCCAAGAGTCTTAGGAGTAACAATGCTTCTAGCATATGGCTGGACTGGGAAATTCCTTAAAATAGAGATGTTAGAATGAATTGACCAATCAGAGGAAGAGGAAGAGGAAGAGCTATGTCATGCTAAGACATAATCTATGTAGAGATCCAGCCTGGCAACTGCTCTTGCAGGTGCTATAGTCACAGTTATGGAAGACCCTGAAAAGAAAGTTCTTGTCACCAAAGACCTTTGCACTCTCAGATGGTTTAACATTAGAAACTGACACCATTTCATCAGTGGAAATGATATTAAAGAGGAGGAATTAACATATGTTTTGCTTCTGCACCCTAAGAACCCATGGGTCTTTTGTGTCTAATATTTAGATAACATCTTCCACCAGTGTTGTCTCCTGCATTAGAAAATGAGCTCCTTGAGATCAGGGACAATCTTCCTTTTTTTTTTTTTGTTATGTCCTCAGCACTTAACACAGTGCTTTGTACATTGTGTTTAAATGCTTCATTCATTTGTTCATTCATTCATTCATCCATCCATCCATTCATTCATTCTAGCCAGCAGTTTAAGAACACTTGTAGTGCACAATTCAGAAACAATTCAGTTAAAGACCTCCCAGAAAAGCTTTTGGAGTGTGCAGGGCAACACTTTCAGGCCCTGAATCTCTCTTTGTACTGAATTATTCCCTTCCACCAGGAAAATACTTTTCCTCGCTCTGATCTTGTCAAACTATAGTTGGTTGTGCTAACACCTTTCAATCTTCATCTGTATTTTGGTTTCTACTGGTATGGCCCAGAATGAAATCCACTCTTGTTTGATCCATTCAGGGATTTTCAATAACTTAACCAAGTTGGCTAAGGTCTTCATGAAGACCGGAATCACCTTTGCTAAGGTAGAGAAAATATGTGGTGCTTTCTTCATCTCTAGTCCTATCACTCATAAAAGAACAGTCCTCTCTACTTTTTTTTTTTGCCAACCACAAGAGACAATTTGAGCTTCCGTAATATCTCAGGTCCTTCAGCTTTATTACAGAAATGTCTGAGATAGAGACATACATGATCCAAGAAAGGCACCATCACAACTATGAGAATTTCAGAAAAGAACTAATCCTCTGCCTCCTTTGAAGTGTCTAGCTACGTATATGCTCAAAGCAGGGGAAGATTTCACTTCCTGAACTTTGATCTTTGAGTGGTTTCTTCTGACTTCCAAATATGGCAGTGTGGTGGTAGCAAAAAAATAAAAACAAAACAAAAAACAGTGGACTTGGAGCTTGAAGGCAGAATCACAGAATTTCAAAGTTGAAATACATCTTGGTGGACATCTAGTCCAACTTGAAAAAGAGTGCTCTCTACAACACACCTTCCAAGTGGCCATCTTGGGCAGTCATGAACTCCCTGAAGACAGGAAGGGTCATAATAAAAATTTATATAGAGTCTACAATGTACCAGGCACTGCGCTAAGTGCTTCACTAATATTATCTTATTTGATCCTCACAATAACCCTGTTTTTATAACCCTAAGATTTTAACTCAGATCTTCCTGACTCCAGGCCCAGTGTTCTATCCATTGTGTTACCTTGCTGCATATGGAGGAATTGTAAAGATTCAGAGGGCATGGATGTGACATATCTACACTGATAGAGGGAATGCCTACATAGAGAAGGTTATATGTCTATTGACATGCAAGCATAGAAACATTTCTTAAAAGTGTCGTGTCCTGATAGAGTGTCTAGATCTCTCTAAAGTACCTTCTGGGGCAGCTAGGTGGCACAATGGATAGGGTACTTGCCCTGGAGTCAGAAAGACCTGAGTTCGAATGCAGGCTGAGACACTTACCTGTGTGACCTTGAACAAGTTGCTTAACCCCTATTACCTCCACACAAAAAAAAAAAGAAAAAAACCACCTACTTCCTGAAGCTCTCTTAAGCACTAAGAAAAATGTGGTTGGTTATTTCCAGCTGCATGCTGAAAATATCATGTTGAATGCATTCTAAACTGGAGCATTCTCAGCCTGGGTCTTCTTTGTATGTAGAGACCTGTTAACTACATTTTAAATGAAACACATTTATAAAAGTGTTTGGGGGCCTGAGAAGGGTAGGGCAGGCAGATGATTTTCACTCATTCATTAGATCCAGCTTAACCATAAACATGGTGAAGATAGGAGGCACAGGGGATGGAACACTGGGCTTGCAATCAGGAAGATCCATCTTCATGAATTCAAATCTGGTCTCAGATGTTTATTAGCTGTGTGACCCTGGGCAAGTAACTTAACCTTGTTTGCCTCAGTTTCCTCCTCTGTAAAGTGAGCTGGAGAAAAAAAAATGGCAAACCACTCCAGTATCTTTGCTAAGAAAACCCCAAATGAGTTCATGAAGACTCAGGCATGAAAAACCATAAACACAAAGATGGCCCCAGTACTAAGACAGTAAATGTTTCTGTGAAGACATTTCTTTTTCTTAGCTGGAATCAAACAAATACTTTGAAACAAAGTAGGAAACTTAGGTGAAAAATATGGTTAAAAACTAAATTGTGAAAACTCTTATTGGGTATCATTACTTGAGGGCCCCAACCCTCACTACTACAGGAGGGGAGGGCAATGAAATGGAAGAAGGAGGAGACACATAATGCTGGGGTGGGGAGGTCGGGAGACAGTTGGAGCGTCTAGTGGAAGAGGCTGCAACCACCAGACCCGGAGTGAGACCGGCCCCTGGCGCGGAGCGGGGACCCCCTGCGGCCTTGGACTTGAACAAACTGAGTGGCGGGCGGAGGACCCGGGTGGAATGGGGCCAGCTGGCGGATGGGGGGAAGAGTGGACCCGTCACGGGAGCTTTGTCCACGAGACAACTCGGGGTCGGTTACATCCCAACGACAAGGTCACGGGACCTGGGGTTTCCTACCTTGTTCGGTACATGGGTTGTGTGGAGGTCCTCCAGCTGATGCGGGCCTTGGATTTCAGTACTCGCCCCAGGTCACTAGAGAAGCCATCAGTCTGGTGTGAGGGGCTGAGCGGAGGAGAAAGCCTTGTAGCCGCCCACTCAGCTCCATACTGGGGAGGACTAATCTGAAGTTTGCTGGCATGCACATCACCCTAACTGTTTCTACCGGCAGCCTCAAACTCACGGCTGCAGACTGTATATAGATCATCGCCAATCATCACATGCAGTCAGTCTCCTTTGCGTCCGATGGGGATCCGGACACTGCAGAGTGTGTCGCCTATGTTGCCAAAGATCCTGTCAATCAGAGAGCCTGCCACATCCCGGAGTGTCCAGAAGGACTAGCACAGGATGTCATCAGTACCATTGGCCAAGCCTTTGAGATGCGCTTCAAACAACACCTCAGGAACCCACCCAAGCTTGTCACTCCCCATGACAGCATGGCTGGCTTTGGTGGCTCAGTTTGGGATGAGGAGGAAGAGGAGCCGCTTGACCGTTGGTAGGACAATGACTTCCCAGGGAAGGAGCCCCCCACCTTGGTGGCTTAGTAGACATGAGGCTTCGGGATGGAGCTGGCCCAGGGGTCGTCCACCTCCACCCAGTACTCAGACCACCAATCACCTAAGAGCTACTTTGCCCGTCGGACAGCTAGCCGGTGGTGACCCTGACATTCGAAAACGGCTCCTAACTCCTGGACCAGGTAGAGAACTATTTGGTGATCCCTCCTATGTCAATGTCCAGAACCTGGAGAAAGTCCGGCAAGGAGCTGGTGGCCCTTCTAACCCTACTACCAATGGCAGTGTCCCGGGTGACCTCTTTGATATGAAGCCATTTGAAGATGCGCTTCTGGTCCCCCCACCCGTCCCTACCACACCAATGGCTGAGCAGCTCCGAGGACAGCCCTGGTTCCGTGGGAAGTTGGGTAGGCGGGAGGCCGAAGGGCAGCTGAGGCTCAACGGGGACTTCCTGGTTCGGGAGAGTAAGACTGCCCCTGGCCAGTATGTCGTTACTGGCCTGCAGAGCCGCCAGTCCAAATGTTTGCTGCTCCTTGATCCTGAAGGCGTGGTTCAGACAAAGGATCACCGATTCGAGAGCGTCAATCACCTCATCAGCTACCACTTGGACAATCACCTACCCATCATCTCTGCAGGCAGCGAGCTACGTCTTCAGCAGCAGGTGGAACGGAAGTTGTAACTGACCTGATCCTGTCCTCAACCCTGTCCCAGCCTCCAGGACACTCCCTTTCACTTTACTGGTCCCAATTCCAACAGTTTTCGGGGCGGGGGGGGGGAATGCTCTGGTTGCAGCATTTTGTTATATCTGTGAGTGGCCTGAATCCTGGGGTTCAGGACCTGGAGAAGGGATTAATTTTTCTTCTCCTCCACCAGAGTATTAGTGCCCACGTCAGTCTTGTGGCCCTCAGATGGGCCTGGGCAAGACCTCCTAACAGGAGAAAGGAATCTCAGGGATAGTTCCAGTGGAATGGGATTTTTCTTCAAAGGGATAAAATTCTGTCCCTCCTCCATGCCTTTGACCATGCTCCAGACCTAAATCCGTTTTTATGCAAAGTTTTCCTATGGGCTAGAAATGATGATACTCCATCTGCCCCCAGGATCCTGTCCCCCAGCCCTCTCAGACTGGGCTTGGGAGACTAGGGGCAGATGTGGTTGCTTTCCATTCTTCAAAGAGGATGTTCAATCCTCAGAGCCTATCCCAGAACCCCATTTCCTGGCCGGGGGAGGTCCCATCCTCTGTCACATACACAGAGTGCCTCCTGGCTGGGGCCACCTACTCTAGGGGTCTGTATATACATTTTGTAAATATCCATTCCCCCCACCCTCAGCGTTGCATTTACATTGTCCTACTTTACAGCCAAAGTGTAGCCCTTTGTAGCCTCTCCAACTCCTTTGGGTTGGACAGTGAATCCAGTGTTTGGTTCTTCTATACAATCAACTCTCAATTTTCTGCATTAATTTGAGGGGTAATGGTTATCTATAGCAGTGGATAATCCCCAAATAATTCTTATTTAGTTTGGGAATGTTATAGTTTTGGCAACCAAATTATTTCCTGATTTTGTCTTGCTTGAGCACAAAAATTATCTCATCTTTATACATATGGGGCCTTTTTTATTTTTTCAGAGACTTCATCTATTATATCATTTTACCATCATGACAAGCCTGTGAAATAAGTAGCACAGGCATTATTATCTCCATTTTACAGGTGAGAAAACTGATGCATAGAGAAGGTTAGGTGATCACGGAACAGTAAATGGCCAGGACTAAAAGCCAGACCTCATACTAGCCTAGGAAAAAGGCTGGAATTTTTAACTTAGCTGCAGAGAAGCCTCAGAGGAGATCATTCAAATCAATGTATTTATTGAGTACCTATTGCTAGACATTGTGAGGAATACAGAAGAGGTAGAAGATACTCCTCCTGAGGAGGTGTGGATAATGGAGAGTTGACGGTATCTTTATCTCCTCCTCTTCTGTTTATCTCTTCTACCCTTATTTTGTTTGAATCTATTCACTGGTCTCACTTATACCAAAGGGAAATATCATTAAAGATCACTATTTCTTAAAAAAAAAAAAAACTAAATTGTGGTTTAAAACCACTACTCCTACGTGGCAAGTCTAATTTATTCTTTGCCAAAATATTTGTGGTTGTATAGACACACACTCAAAAATTTTCTCAACTTAAAAGCTGATAGATGCAAAAAATAGCAAAACTCCTGGACACCCATAAGTTATGAAATATTTTTCAGCTGCATTCTTCAAGGATTGACTTAGTTAACTTTATCATTTACAGTCCTCCTAATTACGTAATAATTCATAGAAAAAATGTGTTTCCTTCTTGTGCTAATATTTTCTTCTCATAAAAAGTGAGATGTTTTTAAGAATCCTCTTCACAAATCAAAAGGGGGAAATGATTAAGTAGGATATGCTCTCAGTTGGCTTTTCCTTTCTTTCAAAAATATTTTTTAAGCTTTCTGTCTTTCTGAAAGTAAGATACGATACTTCTCAAGGATAGTAGTAACATGTATATTTCCATCACAGGGAGCTTTCCTTTCCTATTGCATTGATCAGCAAATAGACTTACTTGTATTTCACAAGATGTCAAAGACAAATTAGAACTCTAGTAATTAGTTTCTGATTTATATGAAGCCAAGAGTTTCAGCTATACCTCATGTCCAGTATTGAGAATTCTGCTCTCAGATTTGAGTTGGTCTTCATAAAATATGAGAGGTTATTAGTTATAGAATCACAAATTTAGAGCTGGGAAGTGTTCTTAGAGATTATCTAGTCTAGTTTTATTAGAGATCCAGAAATATTAAATGACTTCCCATTGAGAATGTTTCATTTTTTGGATTTATATCTCCAGCACTTAACCACAGCACTTGACACATGATAGGCACTTAACAAATGTTTGCTGATTAGTGAATCCTCTGTATAGGATCACAAAAGTTCTCAGTGTCAAAGGCAGCATCAAAAAAAAAGAACAATAACAACAAAGTAAAGTTCTCCATCTGTTAATCCTGGCTTCTCCTGTATGACCCAGTCTACTTACTGGTATATTTTTATATCATGTGTGGGTGGCAAAATGTCCCAGTGCATTTACAACCACCATATGTCTTTCCATTGCCCTTTGAGTTTCCTACAATTTTTATTCTTTGGAGATCATGGTTTGTCATGATTTATAGTTTGGAGGGAACTTATTTTATTCAATATGATTCCCTTATTTTACTGGTGAGGAAACTGGCTCAGAGAGTTTAACTTATATGTCTAGGGTCACTAAGGTAATAAGTGGTAGAGCTGGGATTTGAACCCAGCTCTTCTGACTCTATATCTAGCACTCCTTTTGCTACAAAACACTGCTTCTAACAATGAAGTCGTGAACAGTGAAATCCTCCTATAGGTATCATTTCCTTGCGTGGAGCATCACAGATAGTATCAAAGAGTTCCCCAACCTTATAGTCACATCCACTCTCTCAGGTTCATACTATATGTATACGTGTGTGTATAGAGATATACACTATTCATATTTGCTAACTTTCAAAGGTAACTGAACAGAGACAAATAAATCCACTTGACACAGACAACTAAAAGACACTTAAAACCAAGTAACATAAGAGGCAGCATGGCTCAGTGGATGGAACGCCAGCCTCAGAATGATCTCAATTCAAGTACACTTCTGGGTATGGGACTTTTAGAAAGTTGCTTTATTTCTCAGTGAGGGAGGGAGTTCTTTCTCATGAGGAGCTCCCAGCACACATGAGATCACAAGTCCAGCCAAAATAAACAAAAAACCAATATTGTCACCCTAATGTATTGTTGGTAGAGTTGTGAACTGGTCCAACCATTCTGGAGAACAATTTGGAACTACACCCAAAGGGCTATAAAACTCTGCATACCCTTTGACTCAGCAATACCACCATTACGTCTATGTCCCAAAGAGATCAAAGGAAAAGGAAAAGGACCTATATGTGCAAAAATATTTATAGCAGCTCTTTTTGTGATAGCAAAATTGAAGGGATGCCCATCGATTGGGGAATTGCTGAACAAGTTGTGGTAGATGATTGTGATTGAATACTATTGTGCTATAAAAAATAAAAGAAATCTGGGCAGACTTATATGAAGTAATGCAAAGTAAAGTGAATATAACTGGGAGAACACTGTACACAGTAACAGCAATATTGTAACAATGATCCATTGTGAATGACTTAGCTATTTCCAGCAATACGATGATCCAAAATAATTCTGAAGGACTTTTGATGAAAAATGCTATCTACCTCCAGAGAGAGAACTGATAAACTCTGAGTGGAGATTAAAACATAATTTTTAAAAATTTCTTTATTTTTCTTGCCTTTTTTTGGTTACAACATGGCAAATATGGAAATATGTTTCGTATGGTTTCACATGTATAGTTAGTATCACATTACTTGCCTTCTCAATGGGTGGAGAAGGGGTAAGAGGGAGAGAATTCAGAATTCAAAATTTTGAAAAAGGAATGTTAAAAATAAGTGAATGAATTTATTGAAGATGGGTAAATGTTAAACAAAATAAATAAAAATACAATGCAGTATTAAAAAAACACTTCCCCCTTCACTGTTTCATATTGGTTAAAAGTCTTGAGGCTCTAAAGGACTGCTCAGATATAATAAAAAAAAAATTTAACAATGAATGCAATGAGGGAGAAATAATCCTCACACATCACGGACTAATATAGTTTTAAGTGTCAACACTCATATTATGCAATATTTGCATCACAAAAGAAGTCTTCTGCTTTGTCCTTATTTTCTAAAGAATATATTCCAAAATGGTATTTATTAGCTCCTGTTCTTCCCAGAACTTCTGTTATTTCCAGGAGTGGGTTTAGACATGAAGAAATATCACTTTTTCAAATGACAAGGGTTATTAACTTCTTTATTCTTAGAGCTTAACTAATTAATCAAAACATTATTATCCAAGAGTAGTGCAGTACATGTCTTTACTCATGATTTTCTCCTCTCTTGGGATAGGCTTATGATAACAGAATTGACCACGGTCTTCTGCCACCTAGTCTAGACTAGTTTTTTCCCTAAAAATCAAGGAAACTGTATCAAGATTTTATTGGTATTGCATGCTAAGACTCAAGGTTTTGGTGTGGATTGCTGATTACCTAAGGGAATAAAAGAGGCCAGCCCATGAGGAATCACTATCTTTCAGACTTGGCAGTTACTCCACCTCCATGAAAGTCATCCTGTCCTGCCCTGCTGAAAAAACACATTTCTTTGTGGAATTGAGGGGGAGTACTTCTATTTGACACAGTGCTGTATCATTACTGAGTATCCCATTCAGGCTATGGCTCAGTAAACCTCATTTGGTTAACTGCCAAATAATATTCAAATGTTTCATTTCATTTCAATCTCAAACCTGAGCTACCAGACCAGTCTGAGGCAGGGCTGGACTGCAATAAAACTATGCTCATTACAATCCTCAAGGCTCTTCTTTGAGTCCTACCCTTCCCTGAAATTCCAGCTCAGATCTTATCACCTCTATGAAGTCTTCCCCAGCTCTCCCAGCCAACAGTAATCTGAATTTTATATAATATTCTATAATTCTACATATTCCTATATAATTCTATATAAATTCCTATAATAGTTGTTATATTTACTAGTCTTTTGACACTTAAGATATCACTTTGCTTGGGAGGAGTTCTCTGATCACCTTGATGAGTTTACAGAGCAGTGAGCCTTTGTTTTAGGTCCTTGACTGAATCTGTGATTATTTGTTTGGCTTGGACTCTTGTGGATTAATACTGAATGAATTGGTAGGTTTGAAGTGTTGTGAGACCTCTTTGTGTCAGGTCTATTAAAAAAGTCTTCACTGCAGGCCTGGTCCTTTTTTGGCTTTCCTCCCCCTTTTATGAGTTATGATTAGAACTCTCTCAACATGGCTACCTAAGCAAGATACCGAGTGCTCCATGAAGTAGAAATCCTGATTGAACTTAAAGATTAAATTCATACTCATGGGCCTTATAACAAAATCAGAAATCAGAGAATTGAGAGAAGATGAGTAGACTTTGATCCCTGGGATGTACCTGCATATCAGCATAGCTCCAAAGACCAAGGGACATTCCTCCCTACCTACCCACCCAGCCCTAGAGATGGTACTCTCTAAGCTCAAGAGATGGCAAGTAGGTGGACAGTGGAAGAAGAATGAGGCTTCTGGGCAAGGATATACCAGAACTAGGTCCTACCAACTCTCAGAAATCAGTACACCCTAAAAATGGTCATGATTTACCATTTTGTTGGCTTAATAAAGGGATAGAGAAAATTTTAATAATTAAGATTAAACTTAAAAGTGTTTAATGCATTCATTTGTTTTTCAGGGAAAGCTGATTGTTAAACATGTACCTTCATGCCCCTAGTTTTGGGGCACCCAAGTTTCTAGAATCTAATTGCCTGTACCCAGTCCTGGAGAGGCAGCAGTAGAAGGTGGCAATGGAAAAAGTTCCCAACTATGTGTCCAAGTAGTGGATGTTCCTAAACCTCAAGACAACTAGAGAGAGAAAGGAAATTACTAAGTAGTTCCAGGCTGAGCATTACCCTCTAGCAACCATAAATTCAAGAGTTCTTGCACTTGGGAGATCTGCTAGAGACAGTACTTCTATGAGAGCAGAAAGTCTGGAAGACTGTGGTCTAAGGCCATTTTTACTGGCTACAAGCAAAATCTACAAAACCAGAAGAAACACATAGCTCTTTTTAAAATTAAAGGAGCTTATTCTTAGGATGAAATTGAATTCTATTTAGGCAAGAGATGTATCCATGCAGACAAAGTGAAAAACAACACAGTGACTCCTGTAGAAAAACCCAACAAAACCAGAGTGACCTGGGGAAAGGTTACTTGTGTTCATGGACACAGTGACATGATTCAGGCCAAGTTCCATAGCAATCTTCCTGCAAAGGCCATTGGACAGAGAATCTAGCAAATGCTGCATCCATGAAAATTCTAGAATGTTACAGAAAAAACTGAATAAAATTAAGCATTTTAGCATGGTTTATTTGAAATGCCTTTTTAAAAATAGCTATTCTTCAAGTTCTATTTATATTACGGGTTAATTGATATTGATATCTTTTGTTTTTACATCATCTGTTATTTTCCACTACGTACCTACCGCTCACTCCTTCCCAGAGAGTTGCCCCTTGCAAAACAGTATAAAAAAGGAAGTGAGGTAGGAAAAGTTCCACAAAACTGAACTACTTGATTTTGTAGCATTCATTTTCAATTGTTCTGTTGTTACCGCAGTCATCCTTTACATCTACATTGCAATAGTCATTACTCTCCTGATTCAGCTTACTTCACCTTGTTTCATGTATGTCTTTCCATGCTTTTCTATATTTGTCAATACTTATATTGCAATAGTGATAGATAATGCAAGATTTGGCATAAGGCACAATTTTAGATATAATTCATAAAATTTTAATTATTCCCTCTCCTTCCACCCCAGCCCCTCCACCCCCCTCAAAAAAAGAGTTCTACAATCTATCATTTCCAATAGGAGAACAAGAGATTTCCTAGGCATCACCAGCTCAGGGTTACTTCTTTAGCCACCCCAAGTTTATTTTTCTTCTGTGAAGACTCCAAACCATAGGGTGCAGGCATGTTTTGGGTAGACTATATAGGGACCTAGGAATGAGGTGAATTTCAGCAGAAAAGGAGAAAACATTCTATCAAATATGTATGGACTACTATGAGTTCTTTTGGGCAGCTAGATGGCGCAGTGGGTAGAGTGCTGAACCTGGAGTCAGAAAGACTCACCTTCCTGAGTTTAGATCTGCCCTCAGACACTTAGTAGCTGCATGACCTTGGCAAGTCATTTAACCCTGTTTCCCTTAGTTTCCTCATCTGTGAAATGAGCTGGAGAAGAAAATGGCAAACCACTCCAGTTTCTTTACCAAAGAAAACTTCAAAGGGGATTGTGAAGAGTCAAATATGACTGAAAAATGATTGAACAATAAAGAGCTCTTTTTGTGTCTCTTGCATTTTCTATGAAATAAAATAAAAGTTATCTTGTACTCAGTATGCCTTCCTACCTTGAGTGCTTGAATGGGAGCAAAGGATCATTTTATCCTTATCCATGGATACAGTACTGACCTCAAAACCAGGAAGATCTGGGTTCAAGACATGCCTCTTTTACATACTGGCCGTGTGACCTTAGGGAAGTCATTTAACGTTTTAGTGCTCCAACACTATATATTGTAGAAAAGGTGCTGACCTGGTATAGGGAGTTTCTTCATCTGAGAGTTCCTTATACTAAAGAAATTACAGGCCTAGTCTCTAGACCTATTACAGAATCATAGATTGAGATACAGAAGAAACCCTTAGGATCATCTAGTCCAACTCCTTCATTTTACAGATGAGGACACTGAGGCCAGGTCATAGGTTTAAGGTTTGTTGTTCAATCATGTCTGACTCTTCATGACTCCATTTTTTTTGGTGGGGGGTTCTTGGCAAAAATGCCAGAATGGCTTGCCATTTCCTTCTCCAGCTCATTTTGCAGATGAGAAAATGGAGGCAAACAGGGTTAAGTGACATGCTCAGGGTCACATAGCTAGTAAGTTCCTGAAGCTAGATTTGAACATAGGTCTTTCTGACTCCAGGCCTAGTACTGTATTCATTGCACCACCTACTTGCCAATACAGAAGCAAGGTATTGAGTGATCCAGGAGGTAAAAACATTGGTGGGACTAAAACAATTAATTTAAAATCATACTCCCTTTATAACAGACTTCCCATATCCAATTGCTGTTCTAATTAATGTAATTCTATTTCAAATAGTCAGGTGAATCAATATGATATAGAGGGAAGCATATTTGACTTGGTCAGAGATCTGATTAAAATACTTGCTCTGATGTTTAGTATTTGTTTCTTTCTTTGTCTGTAAGGTGGGATAGCAATACAAGATGCAGCCTACCTTGCAGAATTGTTGTGAGGAAAATGTTTTGCAAACCTTAACAAATTATATAAGTGTTAATATTATAACAGACAAAACTAAGTACATCTCTATCATATTCATTTTTTTCCATTTTAAATTATTTGTAAGTACTATTGGAGCATAAAAGCTTTAGGATAATTTTAGACTCTAATAAAATAAATAGATGTCCTCAAAACCAAAGTGAAATGCAGGATATAGGCAATTATAGATAATCCAAGCAAAAATTCAGGGTTTATGCTATTGAGATATTTTTAATAAGAATGATATAAGGATAGAAAGGCCCAAACTGCACAAATAATTGTCTCAGTTTTCCATTTCACTTTGCTAATGGGAGTTTGACCCATGAAAAGTTTTTGAAGGAAACAAATTCAGGTCAAAAGGAAGTATTCTGGGAATATTCTGCTCTCCTATTAATAATAGGAGTAAAAATGTTTGAAAATCTAAGATCCTGCTTCATAATCTGTAAAGGAGGCATGCTCTAAACAGCATCTCAACCAAGGCAAGAAGATTGATGGCAGATATCTTTGTTTTCTGATTCAAAACAAGATTTTCAGAGGATTTCAAGTACTGAAATTATGATTTTTCTCAGTTACATAATTATAGGATTAAAACCAGCTGATGATAGCAAAATTCCTTCTTGTCATATGTATTCATTTACAAACTCCATTGATAAAAAGGCCTCCTTACTTGGTATTGTGTGTATCAATGGTATGGAAGAGCTCATGCAATTCTTCCCCACTCAGAACACCATCCGCAAAATAGGCTTTGAATTCTTCAAAGGACAACTTCCCATCATCTGAAATGACATGAACAAATACAAGCAAATTCAAATCAATGCAACAAACATTCATTAGGTGCCTTGCTACTCGAGGCACCGTGATCAGTGCTGGGAATATAAAGATGAACAACCACTCAGGGCCTGACCTCAGGTAACTTACAATAAAGGGGAATAGGAAATAGATATGAACAGTGTGAAAAAAGTTTGAAAAACTAGAGTTAAAGAAATCTTCAACACCAGATTTAAAAATTTCTATTCTATCTCATAAGCAATAGGAAGCCATTTAATTTCCACTAAAATGTAGAGTGTGTATATAAACCACTTACAAAATGGTTTCCACTGAGCAATACCCCCAAACCTCAGGGGTTGTTTAATTTCCTTTATTTTGTATGTAGTTTTGATGATATAATGAGAAGCAACATTCCTGAGAAAATCTGTGACAAGTATTTATTATTGGCAAGATAAGCATCAGAACTTTGTATATGGTTCTGTTATTTTGGCTAGTATACTTCAGTGAGGCAATTTAGTACTTCCATCACATGTTAAATAGAGAAAACTTGTAAGTAGTGACTGTCAATAATAATAACAGCTCACATCTAGATAGTGTTTTCCCATTTTCAAAGCACTTTCATTAGATAGCAGGTGCCTAAATCTTCCCCCTCTTCCATGAACAATTTGGGAAAATGATACTTAAGGGTATATATGCTGAGGGGGGAGAGTGAGGGAAGATTCATTTTTTTTAGTCTTTATTTTTAAATCTTTTAAAATTTATTATTTATATTTAACATTAATTTAGAAAAAAAAATGAGGTCTAAATTCTCTCTCTTTCCCACTCATTGCAAAGGCAAGTAATGTGACACCAATTATACATGTGAAATCATGCAAAATGTATTTCCATACTAGCCATGTTGCAAAAGAGTAAGAAAAATACAGTAAAAAAATTATACTTCAATCCGCATTCAGATCCCCATCAATGCCTTCACTGGAAGTGGATAACATTTTTCATCATAAGTCCTTCAGAATTGTTTTGGATCATTGTATTGATCAGAATAGCTAAGTCATTTACAGTTGATCATCATACAATATTGCTGCTGCTGTGTACAATGTTCTCCTGGTTCTACTCATTTTACTTTGCATCAGTTCATACAAGTCTTCCCAGGTTTTTCTGAAAACATTCTGCTTATCATTTCTTACAGCACAATAGCATTTCATCACAATTGTATATCACAACTTGTTTAGCTATTCCCCAATTGATGGGCATCACCTCAATTTCCAATTCTTTGCCAGCACAAAAAGAGTTGCTATGAATATTTTTTTTGTATATATATATATATATATATATATATATATATATATATATATATATATAGAGAGAGAGAGAGAGAGAGAGAGAGAGAGAGAGAGAGAGAGAGAGAGAGGGAGGGAGAGAGAGAGATTGGTGCTTTTCCTTTTTCTTTGATCTCTGTGGGATACAGACCTAGTAGTGGTATTGCTGGATCAAAGGGTATGTGTGATTTCATAGCCCTTTAGGTATAGTTCCAGATTGCTCTCCAAAATGGTTAGATCAGTTCACAACTCCACCAATAGTGCACCAGTGTCCCAATTTTTTCACATTCCCTCCAACATCTGTCATTTTTCTTTTCTGTCATATTACCCAATCTGATAGGCGTGAGGTGGTACTTCAGAGGTGTTTTAATTTGCATGTCTCTAGTCAGTAATGATTTAGGGTTATTTTTCATATAAATATATGCATAGCCTTGATTTCTCCTTCTGAAAACTTCTTGGTTCATATCCTTTGACCATTTATCATTTGGGGAATGACTTCTATACTTATAAATTTGAGAAATGAGTCCTTTACCAGAAAAACTTGCTGTAAATTTTTTCTCCTGGTTTTCTGTTTTCTGTCTAATCTTGGTTGCATTGATTTTGTTTGTACAAGCCCTTTTTAATTTAATATAATAAAATTATTTATTTTACATCCTGTGATATCCTTTATCTTTTGTTTGGTCATAAATTCTTCCTTTATCCCTAGATCTGATAGTAAAATTTTCCAAGCTCCCCTAATTTGCTTATGATATCACCCTTTATGTCTAAGTCATGTAACCATTTTGACCTTATCTTATCTTGGTATATGATGTAAGATATTCTAGATCTAATTTCTGCCAAACTGCTTTCCAGTTTTCCCAGAAATTTTTGCCAAATAATAAACTCTTGTCCCTGAAGCTTAGATCTTTGGGTTTATCAAATACTACATTACCATAGTCATTTACTACTGTGTATTTGTATACCTAATCTATTCCACTGATCCATCTCTCTGTTTCTTAGCCAGCAACAAATAGTTTTGAGGATTACATTGTAATACAATTTGAGATCTGGTACTCCTAGGCCACCTTCCTTCACATTCCCCCCCCCCCATTGATCCATTTATATTCTTGACTTTTTGTTCTTTCAGATTAATTTTGTTATTATTTTTTCTAACTTTATAAAATAATTTTTGTTTTTTTGGTGTGGCACTAAATAAGTAAATTAATTTAGGCAGAATCATAATTTTTACTATATTGGCTGAGCCTATCCACGTGCAGTTAATATTTCTCCAATTGTTTAGATCTGTCCTTATTTGTGTGAAAAGTGTTTTGTAATTGTGTTCATATAGTTTCTGGGTTTGTCTTGGCAGTTAGACTCCTGTGTATTTTATATTGTCTGCAGTTATTATAAATGGAATTTTTCTTTCTGTCTCTTCCTGCTGGACTTTGCCAGCATTATACGGAAATGCTAATGATTTATGTGGGTTTATATTATATCCTGCAACTTTGCTTAGGTTTTTAATTATTTCAATTAGTTTCTTAGCTTATTCTCTAAGATTCTTTAAATATACCACCACATCATCTGGAAAAAGTGATAGTTTTGTTTCCTCATTGCATTTTCTAATTCCTTCAATCTCATTTTCTTTTCTTATTGCTATAACTAAAATTTCTAGTACAAGAATAAATAATAGTGGTGATAGTGGCGATCCTTACTTCACCCCTGATTTTATTGGGAAGACTTCTAGCCTATATGCATTACAGATAATTTTTGCTGATGGTTTTAGAAAGATACTACTTATCACTTTAAGGAAAGCTCCATTTATTCCTATGATTTCATGTGTAGGTGTGTGTGTGTGTGTGTGTGTGTGTGTGTGTGTGTGTGTGTGTGTTAAATAGGAATGAGTGCTACATTTTGTCAAATGCTTTTCATTCATCTATAACACAATCCTCTAATTTTTGTTTTTATTGTTATTGTTATGATCAATTATGCTGATAGTTTTTTTTAAATATTGATCAGCCCTGCATTCCTCTTATATATCCTACCTGCTCATAGTGTAAGATTTTTGTGACATATTGCTATAATCTCCTTGCTAGCATTTTAATTAAATTTTTTTTGCATCACTGTTCATTACAGATATTGGTCAATAGTTTTCTTTCTTTGTTTTTGCTCTTCCTGATTTAGGTATCAGCACCATACTTGTGTCATAAGAGGAATTTGGTAGAACTCTTTCTCTGCCTATTTTTCTAAATTGTTTATATAGTATTAGAGTTAATTGTTCTTTAAATGTTTGGTAGAATTCACTTGTAAATCAGTTTGTCCCTGGAGATTTTTTCTTAGTGAATTCATTGATGACTTGTTCATTTTTTTTTAAAGATAGGGTTATTTAAATATTTATTTCCTCTTCTGTTAATATGGGTAGTTCATATTTTTGTAAATATTCAAACATTTCACTTTGATTGTTAGATTTATTAGCATGTAATTGGGCAAAATATTTCCTATTGATTGCTTTAATTTCATTTTCATTGACAGTGTATTCACCCTTTTCATTTTTGATGCTGGTAATTTGGTTTTTTCTTTCTTTTTAAAATTAAATTAATTTTTTATCGTTTTTATTATTTTACCCCCATAAAACCAGCTCCTAATTTTATTTATTAGTTCAATGGTTTTCTTAGTTTTTTATTATTTCCTTTGATTGGAAATTGAGGATTTAAAATTTGTTTTTTTTAATAGTATACTCAATTCATTAATCAGTTCTTTATTTTATTGATGTAAGCATTCAGAGATATAAAATTTCCCATAAGTAATGCTTTGGCTGCACCCTATAAATTTTGGTGTGTTGTCTCATTATTGTCATTCTTTTTCATGAAATTATTGATTGTTTCTGTGATTTGTTCTTTGATCTATACATTCTTTAGGATTAGATTGCTTAGTTTTAAATTAGTTTTTAATCTGTGTCTCCAAGTTTCTTTATTGAATGTAATTTTTATTGCATTATAGTCTGAAAAGGATATATTCAACATTTTTTTTGTTCTGCATCTGATTGTGAGGTTTTATGCTCTAATGGATGATTAATTTTTGTGAAGGTGGCATGTGTAGCTGAAAAAAAGTATACTCCCTTTTATTACCATTCAATTTTCTGCAGAGATCTATCATATCTAACTCTTCTAAGATTATATTCATCTCTTTAACTTCTTTCTTATTTATTTTGTGGCTAGATTCATCTAGTTCTGAGATGGGAAAGTTGAGGTATACTAGTATACCTCTAGTATAGCATACATATACATATACATATACATATACATATACATATACATATACATGGGTGTATGTATACCACTAGTATTGTTTTACTATTTCCTCTTGTAACTCATTTAAATTTTCCTTTAAGAATTTGGATGCCATGCCATTTGGTGTATATATGTTTAGTTTAGATATTACTTCATTGTCTATGGTATCTTTTTAGTAAAATGTAGCTTTCCTGCTTGTCTCTTTTAATTAGGTCTATGTTTGCTTTTGCTTTGTCTAAGATCATGATTGCTGCCCGTGCCTTTTTGTACCTTAGCTGAAGCATAATAGATTCTCCTCCAACCCCTTATTTTTGAATCTGTGTGTTCCTCTGTTTCAAGTGTGTTTCTTATAAACAATGTATTGTTGAATCCTGGTTTTCTGCTTTTGTTTTATGGGGTGAGTTCATCCCATTCATATTCACAGTT